GGCTGCTGAATCTACACAACCTTAACATTGACTAGCGCTTTTAGGTGTGCTCAGTACTTGTGTTTTAAATAAACCAAAAGGGGGAAATGTATAATATATGAAAGTTGTATCCAGAGGAGGAAACCTGCAAAATAAAATTAATTCAGGACATGAACATTTGTTGAAATACTGAAAACCACTGCAGAAAACCAATCTGCAATATATATATTCTTAATTTATTTTTGGTTGCGTTGGGTCTTCATTGCTGCACGCAGGCTTTCTCTAGTTGCAGTGAGCAGGGGCTACTCTTCATTGCAGTGCGTGGCTTCTCATTGCAGTGGCTTGTTGTGGAGCACGGGCTCTAGGCGTGCAGGCTTCAGTAGTTGTGGCACGTGGCTGAGTTTCTCTGCGGCATGTGGGATCTTCCCGGACCAGGGCTCAAACCCATGTCCCCTGCAATGGCAGGCAGATTCTTAACACTGCGCCACCAGGGAAGCCCCCCAGTCTTCAATATTAATTTGCTATTAGCCTATCTCAACTGGCTCCTTGCCTCCTGCAGCCTCTTTTCTCAATTTGGGTGGTTTTTTGAGGCCCCGTCTAGTTTACCAAGGACTGTGTTCAGTAGAAATTGAACTATCTTGTGATTTTTTTTTTCTGATGGTACAGACTGAAAAAACATTATTAACTTTGCAACAACAGTAACTGCATAGTATACAATTGATTTTTTTGTCTGTCAATGTTAAGGCAGGGTTTAGTGTAACACTTTGAAAGTGTCACAAAGATTGTTTGTCCCTAGAAAAAAACTTTTTAGTTGACCTTGAACTTACTGATTTCTAATTCTCTGCATTTTCATCCAGACTTTGAAATGTTTGCCTTCTAATTATTGTAGCATTTTTTCTATCAAAACTTCTCAGGCAGGGGCTATGCCATATTCTTCCCCCACATCCATGAGGCAAATACCCAGAAAACTTGTAGGAATTTGATAAAATTATCAAATGTATTATTGAGACAAGACTGACATTTATGTGCTTTTCCCTACTGGTAGCAGTAAAGCACGGTTTCAGGAAAGGAGTATATATCAGAATATATTAGATTGTACATCTCTTTGATCTAGATATCATATAATTGGAAGTTATTGATTATGAGATTAAAAACCAAAAAGATGAGCACCACATCAATGATGTCACTGAATTTTTTAATGGAAATTAGTGTACAGCTGTAAGAATTTGAGTTTTGATATATTCCTATATTAATCTGAAGCCATTAAAATGATGACAGGGACTTCCCTGGTGGTGCAGTGGCTAAGAATTCGCCTGGCAATGCAGGGGACACGGGTTCGAGCCCTGGTCCAGGAAGATCCCACATGCTGCGGAGCAGCTAAGCCCGTGCGCCACAACTACTGCGGCTGTGTGCCACAACTACTGAAACCTACGTGCTTAGAGCCTGTGCTCCGCAACAAGAGAAGGCACTGCAATGAGAGGCCCGCGCACTGCAACGAAGAGTAGCCCACACTCACTGAAACTAGAGAAAGCCTGCACACAGCAACGAAGACCCAACGCAGCCAAAAATAAATAAATTTATTAAAAAAAAATTATGACAGATATCATAATGGTAGGAGATACACAATATGGGCTTTGAGGGATCACAGATTGTAGCCTTCATAGTTTAATCAACCATAAATCTTTGTTAGTGTTTGCGTATGTGTCCGTGTGCACACATGTATGTGTACATGCATAAGATCGTGTGTAAAGGGATACTCTTCCAGAGTGGTTTTCCTAGGCAAGGAGCATTTTGTGGTATTTTTCCGTTTCATAACTTCATGTTATATTTTTTTCATTGAATAGTGAATATTGCCAAAGCAGGAAATTAGTACAATAGAATTTGAAAATGTACTAAATAACTATCCCTTGCAGTTAAGAGCTCATAATATGATTGTTCTATATTGTCATAAGGCATATAAGATCAAAATTACGGTATGAACTCTGGAAGCCAATTTCAAAAACAAAACAATTCTCAGATTATTTTGCATACACAGAAAAATTGATGAGTTTCAACAATTGAAGCTTTATTATTTATGCTGTGCTTTAAGTACAGATCCGTAATAGGGAGAGGGAAAATCCTGGAGCTAGAAACAAAAGTGGATATACCTACGTTGTGGAGGTTTAAAAAAAAAAAAGTTTCTCTTGTTGAAAAGATGCGCATGAGGAGAGAACTGAGCATAATAGCAGAGGACCCTCTGCATGTGGAACCAGTAAGGACAAAGCAGGTTTGGATGCCATTCCATACTCAGACCAATGGTGGTATTTTTAGTATAGTTGGTTAAAGGGCTTTATTTAGCAAGTTACAGTTGACCCTTGAACAATATGGGTTTGAACTGGGCAGGTCCACTTATATGCAGGGTTGTTTGTTTTTTTTTTTTTGCGGTACGCGGGCCTCTCACTGTTGTGGCCTCTCCCGTTGCGGAGCACAGGCTCCGGACGCGCAGGCTCTGTGGCCATGGCTCACGGGCCCAGCCGCTTCGCGGCATGTGGATCTTCCCGGACCGGGGCATGAACCAGTGTCCCCTGCATCGGCAGGCGGACTCTCAGCCACTGCACCACCAGGGAAGCCCAGCAAGTTTTTCTTTTAATAGTAATTGCTACAGTACTACATGATTTGTGGTTGGTTGAACCATGGTTGCAGAATTGCAGATACAGAGGAACCACGGATATGGAAGTCTGACCATAAGTTATTTATATAGATCTGTCTACCCATCCATTCATCCGTCCATCCATCTATAGAGAGAGAGGGAGTGAGTGCACGTGCTAGGTATTTACAGAAGTAGATGTGGAAGTGTGAGGATATACAAACACACACGTGTATGTGGTGTATATAAGCATGTATATCCATGTTTCTATTTCAGGGCTGGAGCAAGGAAAGTATAGAATGATCCTGGAGAAAATTTGCTGTGCCAGAAAGTAGGGAAGAGTGGTGGGACATGTAAAAATATCCAGCTTGAAGAGACTCACACTGGGTAAATCTGAGCAATTTGACCATAAAATAAATAATTATCATACAGAATATGAATAAAAAAAGAGGAAGGGAGGGAAGGAAGGGCTCTCAGAATGCCAAGCCATAAATATATAGAAGGAATGATGTAATGTAAAAATCATTATTTACAACCATCATAGTAATTATAGGTTCTGGCAAGAATAATCAATGAATTATAAAACTACTGGTTGAAAGTTTATGAGTAACAGGATGCTACAAAACCCAAAATCTCTCTCCACAAAGTAGTAGTAATCACAACAGGAAATACAGTAGATATAAATTTGGTGAACACTACCTTAGGCAAGAGATGAACATTATCAATAACAGAACAAACCAACATTTTAGATTTCTGGGATACGATGTACTGAGAAGGACGCAACGTTGCTTCAGTATTTTTACTGACAGAAATAAACAACCAAATCTTATCACAAGGAAGCATCCAAGTTGAGAGTCTCCTGTTTCACAGTTATGACCACAGGGAGCATAACTGACCAAAGGTCCCAGCTGCTGCTCTTAAATCCGTCACCACGTTTGCATGGAGGCCAGTCTTGCCCCGATTGCTCCTAGTCAACACAGCAGGGATCCTAAGGCAGGCCATTTCTTGGAGACCAGGATTCCTCTATCCAGTGACCTTTTTTCAAGGACTCCCTGACAACTTTGAAGGATTTTACTTAGAATACAAGGCAGTCTAGGATGATTTACCAAATCTTTCTTCCAAATCTTCACTCAGGGTCAGACTTGCACTATGAGCTCAGTTCTGCCAGCCTTCCTGAGCTCCCTGCCATTTTCTTTCCGATGTTTTCCCTAATAAAATATTTGTTCATTAAAGTCTTTCTCAGCACTTTGCCATCTAGTTCTTGGAGGACCAGGACAAACCCCAAACCCTAGAAACATCCCTTTTTGGCTCTTTCTAGTAACCTTCCTTTCCATATGGTAGCCACTAATTTGTAATGGTGTAGATTCACTTAGCCTATTTTGTACTTTATGTAAATGGAGTCATGTAATAGGTACTATTTTGTGTTGGCTTCATTTGCTCAACAGTATATCCGTGACATTTATCCATATTGTTGGGAGTGGATAACTTTGATTCATTTTCATTGGTGGATATTATTGCAGTGTGTAAACATATCAAAATCTATTTATTAATCCCATTATTGGTGGGTATTGGGTACTTTCCCATTCTTGGTTATCACAGTTAGTGGTGATGTGAGCAATCTAGAACGTGCCTTGTGCACTTGTTTGAGGGATATTTCTGTGGGTGGAACCAAAGTGTTATAGGGTATATGTTTAACTTTGGTAGATACAGTTGACCCTTGAAGAATGCATGGGCATGAGGGATGCCTCTGAGTCTTCTATTCCATAGATGTTTTTAAAATATCTCTCACTTTTGGCCCATTAGTGGTGCGTTTGGATTTACAGTGTTTCTTAACTTTAAAATAGTCCAATTTTTCCATTTTTTCTTTCACAGTTTGTGATTTTTTTTGGTCTTAAATTCTTCCTACTCCAAGGCAAAAAGGCTGTTATCTTACATTTCTTTCCTAAAGCATCATTGTTTACATTTCAAATTTAAGTCCGCAGATCTTCTGGAATTTATATTTTTGTATCCTATGCTGTAATGATTAATATTTTCCCATATGGATATCCAGCTGACTGAGAACCAATAGCTGACCCTTGGACAACATGGGTTTAAACTACGCAAGTGCACTTATACGAGGATTTTTTTCAATAGTAAATACTGCCCTACTACACGATCCAAGATTGGTTGAATCCTCAGATGCAGAATTGCCAATTATGGAGAAACCACGTACGTACAGAGGACTGACTATAAGTTATACTTGGATTTTCAACTTAGCAGAGGGTTGGCACCCCTAACCCCCTTGAACCCTAGTTCAAGGATCAACTGTATTAACAAGACTTTTCCCTCTCTGCTGCAGTGTTTTCTTTTCTTTCTTTTTTCTTTTGGCCATGCTGCGTGGCTTGCAGGATCTCAGTTCCCCGACCAGGGATTGAACCAGGGTCACCACAGTGAAAGTGCTGAATCCTAACCACTAGACCACCAGGGAACTCCTTGCAGTGTTTTCTTTTTACACGTTGTTATAATGTCTGTTTCAACGTGGATTTTGATGTCTATTATCTTGTCTATCCTTGAGCAAACACCAGACTATCTTATATTGTAGATTTATAGTAAGATTTAATGTGACTAATATCTTTCTTTTCATTCTTCTTTCAGATTGTCCCAGCTCTTCTTTTAGCTCTTTGCTTTTCCACATAATATTTATAAACATCTCATTAATTTCCAAGGGAAAAAAATGCTGATATTTTTATTGGGGTTTGATTGAGCCTATAGATCATTTTGGGGATTACCGATAACTTTGTAATATTGAATCTTCAAGCCATGAATATCATTATTGATTGATTGATTGATTGATTTGCAGCACGCGGGCCTCTCACTGCTGTGGCCTCTCCCGTTGCGGAGCACAGGCTCCGGACGCGCAGGCTCAGCGGCCATGGCTCACGGGCCCAGCCGCTCCGCGGCATGTGGGATCTTCCCGGACCGGGGCACGAACCCGCGTCCCCTGCATCGGCAGGCGGACTCTCAACCACTGCGCCACCAGGGAAGCCCAATATCATTGTTTTAAAGAATTTCTCTTGGAGAAAAATTAAAGTGGATCCCATGTAATAAAATGTACATAAATATACTCCAAAATATTTAAAGGACCTACATGTGAAAGATAGGTCTAGAAAGTTAATTTTTAAAAGGTAGAAATATATTTTTTCACCTGAGTTGTTTCAGAAGCACAGATATTAAGAAATTATTTTTTTATTATCTTATATCTTATAATTAAAGATTTCTATTCCATGAAGAACACAATAGAAAAATTTTAGAAACACGTGCCCAATTAGGAAAGGATACTTGTAATTGGTAAAACTGAAAAGGTATTAATAATCAGAATATGTAATAGAAATGAGGAAGAAAATGACAGCATCCACATTAGAAAATGGGGCAAAAGGTTTAAGTAGACATTTATAGATGAAGCTACCAAGCATTTGAAAAAAAGATCAAAGTTATTAGAAATCAGAGAAATTTAACTAAAACAAGATACTACTATACATTTAATACACTAGCAAAACAGGGTGATGAGTCGTCCAAATGAAGGTAAGTGGTTGCACAAAAACCTGACGTGCAACTCTTGGTAATCTGGACTTGGTGTAGCCATTCAGGAGGTCAATCTGGCTATATTATTAAAGTATACACATTTGCTATGAAATAATTTCACTCGGGTATGTAGTCCAAAGAAATTCTCAGGTACATCTATAAACAGAAATGTAAGAAGATGTTTATTTTATTGTTATTGGCATGGCAGTTGGAAGAGTACAGGTAAAATGTGGGTGCAGAAAATGGAATTCTATGAAACAAATTAGATGGATGGGTGAATCTTAAAAATATACTCCTGAATGAAGGAAATAAACACCAGAATGAATTTTATGACACAATATTATTTATATAAATTGAAAATATACACAAGTGCACATTTTGCACAAGAACACACCCAAAAGAAAACACATCAAGCAAATTAGAATGGTAGCTTACGGGGTAGAGAAGGGAGTGGAGGGTGCCATAGGGAACAGGAGGTGAATAAATAAAACTTTTAATCAGGTTACCATATTTCATCATTCTATATCCAAGATTTCAATTTACTTGTAGTGGAAAGAAATCCTGTGTGCTATGTTGGCTTAAGTCAGGAATAGTTCTTGGAGGATATTTTCCTGAAAGAATTTGGAACAAATTTTTGGAAAAATCTTTGTTTATACCATGGATGATCTTTTTTGTTTTGTTTTTTGTTTAATTTTTGTTTTGTGGGTGTGTGTGAGATCTACTTTATTTTGTTTTGTATTTCATTAATCTGATCTTATTTTTTTCTGTCTGCCTTCTTCAGTTTTATTATTCATTTATTAACTTCCTGAGATGGATGTTTTCCGAATCAATTTTCAACTTCCTTTCTACTTTAATATATGCCTTTAAGGCTCAACATTTCCCTCTATATATGTGTTAAAATCTCCAGATCCAATTATGAATATGAATGTTTCTCTTCATGGTTCTGTCAGTTTTTGCTTTATAAAGTATGAGCTGAAGTTATTAGTTTCTGATAACTTGAAACTTTTATGACTGTGAAGTGTCCCTCCGTATGTCAAGTAATGCTTTTTTTTCCCCCTTAAAGTTCACTTGGTCAAATATCAATGTCACAGATTTTATAATTACAGAAATAACTTGAGACCTAGGATGCTGATGTGTGTCTCTAGAAAGGATTTTCACTTGCTTCTGCACGGGTTGTAAGATGCTAACAAAACACGTTCACCTTTACACAATTTCAGGGAATGAGGTGTTTTGGCGTTTGGCTTCAGTCCCTGCCAAAGAAAGCCCAGTTTCCTTCTCCCCTTATTCCAATGGTGAAACTCTTTGGGGTTAACCAGGAAGCCTCTGTGGCTGGTAATGCCTTTATGTCGCTTAGCCTCTTGAAGACGTCCAAAATTCTACTGAGCTTGTACGCCTTTCAGTGAACAGAATTTACACCCTTCTGAGGCCGACACAGTAGAACGGCAAGGCTGCCTGAGACCTCAGGGATTCCGGAAAGTGAAAACCAGGGAAGTTGGGCACTTCCGCACCAACCAGGGGGGCAAGGCTCTGTCCGTTTTCCGCTCGAACCTTCGGGGGAAGTGTAGTGCAGAAAGGCGGTACTGTAGCCGGTACAGACACACACACACACACAGACACAGACAGACACAGACAGACAGACAGACACACACACCTTGTGGGACATGTAGTCCAGAGTGCAGAAAGGCGGTACTGTAGCCGGTACACACACACACACACACACACACACACACACACACACACACACACACACACACACACACACACACACACACACACACACACACACACACACACACACACACACACACACACACACACACACACACACACACACACACACACACACACACACACCCTTGTGGGACATGTAGTCCAGAGCTCGTGCCGGTAGACACCCCCGCTCCCACCCTTGCATTCTGGGACATGTAGTCCAGAGCTCGTAAACTCGTGTAGTCCCATATACTGCAGCTACAGTAACGCCTCGCTGTAAACGTTTCCCCGCGGAATTCTGGGAAGTGTGGTCCAGGAGCTCCGGGTTAGTCGCAGGCACTTCCGCCCCAAGAGGACAACGTAGCAGCCATCTTTTGCCTGATTATGGTGTTTCAGGTCCGCTCTTCAAGACCCATTCAAGCTTCCTCGACATGCGCCTGGGGCCAACCTTTCCAGACCTTTCATTTGGGGAGAAAGAGGAGGAGCGGCTAAAAGCGGAGGTTTGAGGGCCTAGAGTGGTGATGTACGTCCCCCGGACGGAGCTTCTTTGCGTTTGGTAACGTACCCGGGATGGGGTGGGCTCAGGTCGTGCCTCCTCGGGTTTGAGGGTCTCCCCGGTTTTCTTCACCCCTAACCTGACCCCGTCCCCCATCTATGAGCTAGCCCTACCACTTCATACGACGTCACATTGGGTGAGTTGCTTAACTCCTCTGTGCCTCCGTTGCTGTTCGGTAAAAGGGGGAAAAAAGGAATGCCTTCTTAATATAGTGTTGTGAGAGAAAACGAGATAGCACAAGTAAAAGGTCTACAACTACCTGATACATTGTTGTTATTAATACTACTCTAATTTGGGAGGCACCCATTTCGCAGCGGGATTCTGTGAGCCCAGGAAGCTGAATTGTCCTGGACTTCTGGCCTGTTCTAGCTGGTACGGGGGTGGAAGGGGCTGCGGTATGAATTAGTGGGGGTGGAAACACAGCCTTGGTATTTCACAGTCTCATTTCCTTCTCCAGCCCTGACTTCTCAAAAAGCACTGCACGGAGGAAGAGGCAACAGAGCCCCACGTGAGTAGGACTTGACATTCTTCTACTTAAGATATTCATATAAATTGTAGAACGTATGGGACATGGGTAACGATTATAACTGAGACTTGGTCACTAATTTCCATTCTAAAAGCTTTATGCAAATGAACACATTTCCATCAGGCAGTGGCTCTGTGAATTGGTACTGCTGTTTTCTCTACTTTAACGATGAGGAGATGGGGGCAGGGAACACAACCCTGTTGGCCCATCCTTACCCAGATGGTAGGAGGCAGAGCTGGGGTTGGGACCCAGGCAGTCTGAGTCCAGCACCTGAGTTTGCTAATCCCTTTGGTATATTCTCTTTGAGCATAGGGTACTGGTTAGAATCATATCATGAAAGTAGGTTGGGACTTAATCGTGGGGACCTTGAGAGCAAGGTTTAGGCTATTTTTTTTTTTTTTTTTTTTTTGCGGTACGCGGGCCTCTCACTGTTGTGGCCTCTCCTGTTGCGGAGCACAGGCTCCAGACGCCCAGGCTCCGGATGCGCAGGCTCAGAGGCCATGGCTCACTGGGCCTAGCCACTCTGCGGCTCTGTGGGATCTTCCCGGGCCAGGGCACCAACCCGTGTCCCCTGCATTGGCAGGCGGACTCTCAACCACTGCGCCACCAGGGAAGCCCTATTTTATGAGTTTTTAAGATAGTTTTCTCAACTGGGTCATTTATTTTATTTCAAATAATATGTATATCATAGAAATAGCGTAATCATTATGGAAAAATGCGGATATATACATAAAGAAAAATTTTAATTATCTATAATTTTGGGATGTAAAGATAACAGTTGTTAATGTTTTAGTGCCTTTTTGTCTGGTTACTCTTTGTGTATGTTTCTGTGTAGTGGAGGCTGCTTTGTGTGGGACTGATGTTACACTGCGGTGCTACTCAAATTGTGGTCCACAAACCAGCGGCACTGGCATCACTTGGATAGAAATGCCCAGCCTTGAGCCCCATTCAAGACCTTCTGATTTATAATTTCTGCATAGGGGGCCTAGGAGGCTGCATTCCAACAAGATCCCGCAGTAATTCACACGCACGTGAAAATTCGAGAAGCTCAAGAGAGGGTCTTTTCTGGAAACTGAGGCCGAGCAAATTGACCCTGCTGGATGTCACAGATAAAACTGAGCTGGATTCACCAAAGCCCTACTTAGTCCAATGATTTTATTCCCCCACTAGTTATTGTCAACTGTCAGGGCCCCTTTCAAAATCCTGAATTGAGCAGAAGACAGCTAGCAAGTGTAGAGTCAAAATGCAGGTCGTTAGAAGTGAAGATGTATCTCTCCCAGGCTTTGGGGAGTGGAATCATTGCCATCTTTTGTACTAGATCGAACCTGGGCCCCCTGCATTGGGAATGTGGAGTGTTATCCACTTATTTCTTATCCACTTATTTCTTAAACTCCCATTTATTTCTTAAACTTTTCTATATTTATTATGATATAATTACAATTCAGATTCTTGTCTCTTTTAATTTGAATTAGGTATGGACTGTCAAACTATTTTTTATTGTTGTTGCAGAATCCTGGCTTTTATTAGTTCTCTTTACCTCTGCATAATTGTCAAAACGGTACTTCCTGTTTAAAAAGAAACAACGTATTCTTATACCTTTTGTAAATGTTGTCCATGTCAATTTAAATATTATTGTTGCAGTTACAAAATCTTTAGGAAGACAAGCAGAGATTTTTCAGAAGTCTAAAGACTCACATAACAGGGCAACAACCTGTGACCTCCACATGTCTGACAGTGTTCTGCTGGTAGAAATCACATCTTCAAGGATAATTTCTAACTAAAATATCATCTGCTTTATCACAGTTGCTAAGAAATAAGAAACCCTGACGATGGTGTTCTCAGAGCTTTCTACCTTACAACGATATCATGAGGTGGATGCCATTGTTCTCCCCCACCTGCAGATGACAGAACTGAGGCGAAGAGATGTTAATAACTTGCCCAGGATGACACTGCTAGTGAATGGCGTAGCCTGATCATAGCCCATGCATATTGACTCCAAAACCTACTCTTACTTACATGGTCTCTGTTTACACCATACCCAGAATAAGAATGACCACTGTGGGAGCTGCAGGCACACTGTGAGGGGGCCACTGTGTGTGGATGGGCAGGTCATTCCTCACACAGCCACTGAGAGGGGTTACGGGGGCATCTGGTATCCATGTGGGGCTCTGCTCATCAAGCGTAATCAGCTGTAGCCACCCCGAGGACTGGGAGCCTTGGTAATTCACAATGAGCACCACGTGGGTTAGTGACTTTTTTTTTTTAACCAGATTCCATTGACTTCTTTCTTCTTTCCCTGTCTGTCTTGCTAGGACTCTGCACTTCCCCAGAAGGAGAGAGAAAATGAGCACATTCCAGGTGAGTAGAGCTTGCCTTCCTTGCTGTTAAAAACGCCATTTTTGTGCTCAGATTGGACACAGGTTTTCCTCTTTTTTTTTTCTTTTTCTTTTTTTTTTTTGATTGGAGTATAGTTGATTTACAATGTTGTGTTAATTTCAGGTGTACAGCAAAGTGATTCAGTTATACATATATATACATATATTTTCAGATTCTTTTCCCTTATAGGTTATTACAAAATATTGGGTATAGGTCCATATGGGTTTTTCTCTTTCAAGGAGAGTCTAAGCATATGAGGGCCTGAGTGTGCCATGCGTGCTTTTTTTAAAATTCCTGTTACATTTAATTGGTTTCGGTTTTAATTTTTGTTTTATTTCATCATTTTTTTATTTCACAAGTAAAAGAAAAATTAAGGGAAATGAAGGACATCTTCCACTTTACTGCTTACCTGCTTACAAATTAGCTGCTTTTATATTTCTGTAATCTCTTCATCATATGTATTCATAGCTGTGTATTTGTATTTATAACATAGATACAGTTTTAAATTGTTTTTTTCATTTAATACTAGCTAACATTCACTTTTAAGTGCTTTATCATGTTCCCACAAACCTATGCACTTATTTTTTAAACATTCTTTATTCACAGACATTTAGTTTAAAGACTTCTACTGTTTTAGGAACACTACAGTGACAGTGTTCCTGATTTAACCTTTTTCTCAAGGTATCTGTTCTGAAGAATATTGACCCTTTTTGCCCTTAACATACTAGGTTTAGGTATTCAGAATTGAAGAGGTACGTTTTATATGTGGTGCCTTGGATGTTTTTTGGTAGAATATCCAAATACGGCACAGCACAGCAGGATCAAACTGCTGCTTCATGCAGAAAAAATAATGTATTGTTAGAAGTTTTCTCATGACCAGAGTTAGATTCAGTCTTCCCCATGCTTGAGTCAGACCCTTTGTGTATTTTATTTAATGGTTTGTTTATTTTTCCATCTTATATTTTTTTCTAATCAGAGTAATACATGACCTTAGTTTAAGAAGTCCAGTGGTACTTAAAGCACTTGTCACTGCATAGACACCTCGGAACAATTGTATAAAGAGGTGCTTGGTTTCATCTTGGTTTTAAATATAAAGAATAAGGGTTGTGAAAAAAGGAGGAACCAACTCAGACTCACCCAGAAAACCAGGGGTCTGGAGTCAGAGTATTGCATTCAAGTGAAAGAGAGAAACGGGAAAAGAGAGAGTTTTCATTCAGAGACCTGGCATGGCCTTTTGGTTAATTTCCACATATAACACTCCTTCTCAGCTGGTTCCCACCTCAATGAGAAAGCAGGTGCCATCAAATACTGCCGGGACTAAATTGGTAACTGTTTCTGGGGCGCTTGGCAATAATAATTAAAAAGTGAAAGCTTTTTAGTTCAGGATCCAGCGGTTAGAATTTTAGGGAGTTTACTTATGAGTTGTCTGAGAGCCCCCGGTAAGTACACAAAGCTTTCTCTTTCATAACCGCATGTCTGGTGAGGCTGAGGAAAGTCAGTGTGTGGCATTGGCAGGATGGAAGGAGGGGGTGCTGGGAAGTCTGCACACCGCACAGGAGCCGGAGCAACTTCTCACCCTCCTCTGCTCGGGGCTGCCCCTCTTCCAGTGGCCACTGGGTATAAGATTGAGGTGGTGTTGTTTGTTGTAGGAGGCGGTGACTTTCAAGGACGTGGCCGTGGCCTTCACAGAGGAGGAGCTGGGGCTTCTTGACTCGGCCCAGAGGAAGCTGTACCAGGATGTGATGGTGGAAAACTTCCGGAACCTGGTCTCAGTGGGTGAGGACAGCCTTTCTCTGCGAGTGTCTTTGTGACCTTGGTGTTTCAAGGCTTTGGGCCTCTTGAGATGGTTCCCTGAATTTGGGGACCAGACTTTTGCAATTCCTGTGGGACATGAGAGGATGTCTCTGGTCTTTCTAAACAGTGTGTTTCAGGTCCTTTTCATTTATTTTGTAAAAGAATTGTAAATCGACAGTATCTTGCTGTACCTTGTGTATTCTTTTTCAGATTTCCCTCCTTGCCATTAGTGGAGTATAAAGCCAATTTATTGAGCCCTAAGTGTGATTTTTTAATGAAATAAAATAGTATAGAAAATATCAGAGTTCCTTAGGAAGAGTACAACACGTTGCAGCAAAAACTGTGGGCGATGGCATGAGTGGTGTGAGAGCCAGTGGGAACAGATTTCATGAAAATAGACATTGATCAGAAATAGGTCGTTCAAGCTTCGTTTTAATAACGTATACTTGTACATGTGTATCTAGGTTGTGAAATAAATGCTGTTTCTTCAATGGGTCGTGATACAAAGTTTGAAAAACACGGCTTTCAATATCTTGAATGTGCAGTTGGAACTCAAATTTCTAGTAAACTTTAGCTCTAGCCCGTTCATGTTAACTTGTGACTTTGCATGTTCTCATTCTTCAGACAAGATACAAAACATATAGAAAGAGAAGAGAGGCTTTGGTTGATGAATTCAGCAACCCAGATAGAAATTTAGGTAAGAGCCAAGCAGTCGTGAGTTCTTGTGGTTAGCTCACTATCTGTTTTGCTTCTCACCAGCCCTGTGCTGTCCATCACCTGGTCCCAGTTGGAAGTCTCTTTCCAGGATTATTGCATAGTCTTTGTACTGGTCACCTGTTCCCACCCTTCTCCTCCCACAGTTTGTTCTTTAAGTGGCAAAGTGATCTTTTGTAACTTTAAGTCAGGTTATGTTCTTGTTTCAAAATTCTCTTGTGGCTTCTTTTTCTTAGAATAAAAACCACTTAAAGTGGCTTCTAGAGTCTTCTGTGGGCTGCTGTTCATTCCCCACCATCTCCCTGAATACATCACCTCTCCTCCCTCTTGCCCTGTCTTTTCCAGACCTGCAAAGGATGCTTCTGCCACAGAGCCTTTTCCTTGTCCTTCTCTCTGCCTGGAATACTGTTTCACCTGTAATCTTTTAGGCCTCTTTACTTCTTTCAGTCAGTCACCATAAAGATGATGAGAGGGCTGTCCTCTGACCATCCTATGGAAAATACAGCCCTCTCTTTCTTACTGTCTCTGCCCTGCCTTGTTTTGTCTCTAAGCATTTCACTCATGTACATTTTTGTTCACCTGTTTCTCACCTCTCTTTCTTCCACTGGAGGGTAATCCAGGAGTGGAGGAGGAATTTGGTCTGTTAATGTTTATTGCTCACTAGCCTCAGTGCTTAGCATAGTCTTGGTACATGACAGGGACTCTTAAATATTTCTTGAATAAACGAATGAGTTAATGGATAGAGAAATTAGCCTTCCATGAAAATAGCTAGTAGGCAGTGAACAAATCCGAGTGAATAAGGGATATTGCCAAATGTTTTTTTGTTTTCAAATGAATTCCTAGCCTAATTCTAACTTCTCAGGTGCCCATGATATATGTATGTGTGTGTTTGCCTTTCTGTACAAGTTTGCCCTCATCAACTTGCACAAAAAACATGTATAGAACCTGTAATTATAACCAAACTGAGTAAAATGCTTTCCCTGTGACTTTCCTTGAGCTCTTAGTAGCAGAGCATATTCATTTGGGGAGGAAATACTGTTTTGAATGAGGATTCTTATGTCTACTTCTTAGGTAGCTCTCCCCATAGAAGGAAAGAAAATTCTGTTTCCTTATCCCTTATACCAGGGGAGAACAGGTCTCAGAAAACAGCCAGCTGGTGAGTTAGCCTTTCCCTTAAAAGATTTGCCCCGCTGCGTCCCATTTGCTTCCTCCCGAGCCCACCTCACTAATAAGAAATCGATCTTCGTTAGCTCTGCAAACATTTTGTGTGTGTGTGTGTGTGGTGCATTTGTATGTATCTTGTAGAAGGCATTTTAGATAATGTCACCTTGAGTGCTTTGATCATTCTTTAATAGTTTCTAGTCTGTTTCTTCTCAATACTTATCACAAGTTATGGAATTTATTCCCAGCTCACTCATAAACCCCATTCTTCACTTTGGAACTCATTCTTGTTAAAGACCAATGTATCTGTGTCCAAAAATTTTCCATGCTGTTTTTAAAGAGACAGCATTCTTCCCTACCCTCTAAATTTTGACTCCTACTTGGCAGGGGGAGTTGGGGAACGTATTAGGCAGCACAGATGCCTCAGAAGGATCCAGTGCATAGGTCTTCATGCTTTTTTTTACCCCCACTGATTCTTAGAACTTTTTTAAAAATTAATTTATTTATTTTTGGTTGCATTGGGTCTTCGTTGCTGCACATGGGCTTTTCTCTAGTTGTGGCGAGTGGGAGTAGCTCTTCGTTGCGGTGCGCAGCCTTCTCATTACAGTGGCTTCCTTATTGCAGAGCATGGGCTCTAGGCACGCGGGCTGCAGTAGTTGTGGCACACAAGCTCAGTAGTTGTGGCTCGCAGGCTCAGTAGTTGTGGCTCACGGGCTTAGTTGCTCCGTGGCATGTGGGATCTTTCCGGATCAGGGCTCAAACCTGTGTCCCCTGCACTGGCAGGCAGGTTATTAACCACTGTGCCACCGGGGAAGTCCCAATTTTTAGCACCTTTCATATTCTCCTCAGCACTAACCCCCTTGGTGTACTGCCACCTCTGGTGCAGCCTTTCAACTTAAGCAAAACTGTACTTTCTAGTCCTTTTCCTATACCTGATACCTGACTTGTAAAAGCTCTTTCTCTTCTCTGACTTGGTTCAAACTTAACCTGGGATTCAGAATTGTAGAGAATCCTAGAAATCAAACTGAGTTCACCTGTGCATGCATTTCTTGAGCCCTAACTGCCAGGCACTGTTAAAGCTGTCAGCACAGCAAAATGCTTGTCTTTATCGATACTGTATTGTGATAGGAATGACATGTAATTTTTGAAAGATGATTTAAATAGTATGTCAGATGGTAGTCATTTGGTTTTAAATGGATTTCATTAATGCTAAGTTTTTGGGAGTTTAATGGACCATCTCTTGGTTTCTGTTAGTTTATAAACCAGAGAACTTCATTTGTCATGCGAAAGATAAGCTGAACCATCCTGAGGTTCATTAAAGTCTCATTCTGTGTCTTAAGTGTAAAATCTTGAATCTTTGAACAAAGCTTTCACGTGTCCACATCTCTGAATTCTCTGTCCTTATAGAAGAAAACAATCAAAGTGAGTTGAGGGCCGTTCAAGACAGAGGATCACATGAAGAGCTTTCCTGCTGGCAAATCTGGCAACAAATTGCAAATGACTTAACCAGATGCCAAGACTCCATGATAAATAGTTGTCAGTTCCACAAACAAGGTGATTCCCCCTGCCAGATTGGGGCAGGACTCTCTATTCAAATTTCTGAAGATGAGAACCATATATTAAATGATAAAGCAGGTGATCCCAGTAACACTGGAAATCCAAGGTTTGCAACTTTGAGAGCCCAGGATTCTTGGAGGAAAACTTCATTGACTGAGTCACAGAATTATCAGAATAGACACCAGCAAATTTCCATGAAAAATAAACTGTGTCAGTGTAAAGAGAATGTTGACACCATCAGTTGGATTTCACATCACCTTGATGCTCACGGAGTACACAAGGGTCAAAAATCTTGTGGCTACAGTGATTATAGAAAAGATAGCATGAGGGTTTCAGCACTGGATCAGAATACTATGATTCACACAGGACAAAAACCTTACCAGTGTAATGAATGTAAAGAAACCTTCACCGATCTCTCCACCTTTGATCTTCACCAGCAATTACACTCAAAAGAGAAGTCTCATATATGCAGTGAGTGTGGAAAAGGCTTCTGTTACAGCTCGGTTCTTCATATTCATCAGAGAGTTCACGTGGGAGGAAAACACAGTGAGTGTGATGAGTGTGGCAAGGAGTTCAGTCAGAGCTCACAGCTGCAGACTCCTCAGAAAGTCCACACTGTAGAGAAACCGTTCAAATGTGGGGAATGTGGGAAAGGCTTCAGTCGTAGGTCAGCACTTACTATTCATTGTAAAGTCCACACGGGAGAGAAACCTTATAATTGTGAGGAGTGTGGGAGGGCCTTCAGTCAGGCCTCTCACCTTCAGGACCATCAGAGAGTCCACACTGGGGAGAAACCATTCAAATGTGACACGTGTGATAAGAGCTTCAGTCGAAATTCACACCTTCAGTCCCATCAGAGAGTCCATACGGGAGAGAAACCATACAAATGTGAGGAGTGTGGGAAGGGCTTCATTTGTAGCTCAAATCTATACATTCATCAGAGAGTCCACACAGGAGAAAAACCATACAAATGTGAGGAATGTGGGAAAGGCTTTAGTCGGCCTTCAAGTCTTCAGGCCCATCAGGGAGTCCACACTGGAGAGAAATCATACATATGTAATGTGTGTGGTAAAGGCTTTACTCTGAGTTCAAACCTTCAGGCACATCAAAGAGTCCATACAGGAGAGAAACCATACAAATGTAATGAGTGTGGGAAGAGCTTCAGGAGGAACTCCCATTATCAAGTTCATCTGGTTGTCCACACAGGGGAGAAGCCCTATAAATGTGAGGTATGTGGGAAGGGCTTCAGTCAGAGTTCATATCTTCAAATCCATCAGAAGGCCCACAGCGTAGAGAAACCTTACAAGTGTGAGGAGTGTGGCCAGGGCTTCAATCAGAGTTCACGACTTCAGATCCACCAGCTGATCCATACCGGTGAGAAACCATACAAATGTGAAGAGTGTGGGAAGGGATTTAGTCGTAGAGCAGATCTTAAAATTCATTGCAGAATCCACACCGGTGAGAAACCGTATAATTGTGAGGAGTGTGGGAAAGTCTTCAGGCAGGCCTCAAATCTTCTGGCCCATCAGAGAGTCCACAGTGGAGAAAAACCATTCAAATGTGAAGAGTGTGGGAAGAGCTTCGGTCGGAGTTCACACCTTCAAGCCCATCAAAAAGTCCACACTGGAGAAAAGCCATACAAATGTGAGGAGTGTGGGAAGGGCTTCAAGTGGAGCCTGAACCTCGACATGCATCAGAGGGTCCACACAGGAGAGAAACCATATAAGTGTGGGGAGTGTGGGAAGCACTTCAGTCAGGCCTCAAGTCTTCAGCTTCATCAGAGTGTCCACACTGGAGAGAAGCCATACAGATGTGACAGATGCAGTAAGGTCTTCAGTCGGTCTTCACAGCTACAGTCTCATCAGAGAGTGCACACAGGGGAGAAGCCTTACAAGTGTGAGACCTGTGGTAAGAGCTTCAGTTGGCGCTCCAATCTAACAATTCATCACAGAATCCATGCTGCTGATAAATCCTATAAAAGTGATAGGAGCGGTAAGACCATCAGAGAGCCCACACACGAAAAAAGTTCCATAAAATGATTAAGAAAACAAAACAAAAACAACTCAGGTGTCATGTGAATTCTTCCAGTCATCAAGTTCAAAAGAAAAACAAATCATTTGTTTCATTAAAGTCAGTGTTTCAGCCACAGCTCAACATGTCCCAGTAGTCAGGAGGCAACACAGCAGAGAACCCTGGTAAATGGTGTAGTAAGTTTGAACTTTGACCTCTATTAAATATTACTCAGGGGAGAAGCCTTAGTATGAGTTTTAGCAGGCCTTGTACAAAAAAAGTATGATGGACATGCCAAAATTTATGCCCATTACAATGTAAACTCGACGAATGCAGAGACGTTTGTTCTGAATCTACAGTCTGAACATTGTCAACTACTTCATAGGTGCTCGATATTTGTCCAATTAATGAGGAAAAACTTCTTGAAAATTATGTTGCAATCCCCTCCAAAATTTCATAAAAATTTGTATTCAGAGCAGTTAACCTAAATGTGGCCTTAAAAGTAATTCAGGGAGACAAAAAGTTGAAGTGTTAGAAAACCACTCTGTATTGCAATTTGTAATATGAATGTGGCATCGTCCTGTTATGATTAGCTCCATTTGTCCCCCCAGCCTCGCTTCAAGTTGGATCTTATCTTGGACTTTGTCTAATATTCTGTTAATTTTTTACAGTACAAATTCAGTTATCTTTTGTGACAGTATAGACTTACTGAAAATGGATTGTTCATCTTGCAATACAGAAAACATACTGTTGACCCTTTTTTCAAGAATGTCAAGGCAGAGGTTTAAAGTTTAAGTGTCAGAAAGAGTTACTAATGACAGTGACAGAGGACAAATATTTCTTAGTAAATGAACTGATCATTGGATTCTTATTCACCACATTTCTGTCTAGGTTTTGATGTGATTGTCTCCCAAGGGTTTTAGCATTACTTTCATCAATACTTCTTAAGTAGAGAAAAGAGGCTCTTTGAAGTAGATTACTTTTGTCAAGTTTTGTATCTCCTTACTCCTTCTCTCTGGCCTGAGACAAAAAGAAAAAAATTATTTGTTGAAATTTGGTAATTTCATCAAACATGTTTATTCAGTGACTGACTTGCACACTTTTTTCCTAGCGGTGGATTGAAAAATTGATTTTCAAAGTGAAGTTGGTAAGTACATATCAAAATATAGAACATGCGTCCCTTTGATATAGAAATCATAGAATAGGACCTTATAATTAGGAAATTCAAATAGAAAAGGTGAGTAGCACATCAATGTTACTAAAGTTTGTAAAAGTGAAATATTCAATAGGAATTTCTTTATATTTTAAGATACTTATGTAATAACAGATCTGTTAAAATGATGGCATAAACTTAATGACAGAAGCATGTAACAGTTTAATGTATTTTAGGCACATCACATACCTTAATCAAACACGTATGTGTGTGTTAATGCATCCTATCATCTGTAAAGGGATATTCACCCTTATGTAAACAGTGGCAAGATTTTCAGGGATTTTTTCCACATTTAACTTCCATATTTTAAATTTTTCATTGAGCATCAATTTTCCAGTAAAATACTGTTATTTTTATAGTAACATAGGTAGTAAAATAATGTAAAATATAATATTAAAAATTACTAAGAACATATTAATACCTCACAGTAAGAAATCTTATCATCATGAGGTATATATATGGTTAAAATTAAGGAATAGACCTCTAGAAATCAGTTATAAAAATAAAAAATTTATATGGTTATTCAAAGATACAGAATATTAGTCAGTGTAACTGTATATTTATAATTAATGCATTTGAAGTTTAGGATAAATCCATGCAGCCCAGAATATTCTGTTTTAATTCCAACAGTAGAAATTTACACATCCTAGTTCTCCCCATCAGACTTCCTTACTGGGTGAATGGATGGAGAGCCTGGGGTACCGGCTTGTCCTTTCAAGTGCTTGGTCTGACTGAAGTAGCTGGGTCATTCCAGACACTATGACACAGAGAACCGTTAGCTGTGGGAAAAAAGGAATTAACCCCCCCCCTCAAAATTTTTTTTAAATTGTTTACAAAGTAACAGTGATTGGGCAAATCCTGAAGATAGAGAGTGGAAATAGGTAAGTTTTAGAGGTAAAATTTATCAACGATTCCCTAAGGAAAAATGTGCATAGGGAAGAAACCGAGAATGATGGGAACAAGTTGTTAAGGAGGAGGTTTGCATACCATTTCCTACTTCTTAGTCATTTCACTGATGTTTAACACTTACTTGGTTAAAGGGCTTTACTCAGCAAAAGATGTATTTAATGTGAGAGGCAGGTTTCCAAGATTGGTTTCCTAGACCACACCTTCACATGTGTATGTAAAGTCCATGCTATTGCAAATTGCATTGCATTAGATGTCAGAAATCCTAGGCCTTTCATGTTTTGTTTGTTTGGTATGGTAGATATCAGGGTAGCCCACCAACTCTGAAGGTAATTTGTAGTTTAGTGAGTTAAGTCAAGGGCTGGAAAACTACCTCCTGTGAGCCCAATCTGGCTCATTGCCATTAAAACTTTATTGGAACATAAAAGCTCTTTATTGGCCCATCCATTTTTTTACCATCTTTGAATGTTTCCCATTGTGCTGACAGTGTTTAGTAGTTGTGACGAGCACTGTGGCCCACAAAACCTAAAATATTTACTTTCTGGCCCTTCAGAGAAAAAGTGTGTTGATCCCTGTGGTAAGCCCAAAAGGTTTGTCTCTGTAAGTGAAAGACCACAAGTAGAGCAGAACTTAGACTTGGTTCAGTGAGGATTCCAGAGAGGTGTTCTTTTTGATTCTCATATCTGCCCTTCTGGTTGACCTTGTTCTTTAGTTTGGTTCAAAGACAGTGGTAGCAACTAGGGACTACCTGTTTCTTTCTTCACATTCAATGAAAGAGCTGCTCTTCCATTCTTAGTGTTGAGTACACTACTCACTCCCAGTGCATAGCTTCCTCTAACCTTGACTCCCATCTATGCTAAAGACTAAATCTTTAGCTTTGTATCCAGTTCCATTGGCCTTTGTAGGGCCTTCAGTTTCAACTCCCACTTGATAGCTTGAGCTCGAAATCTATTTTTACCACTGGGGATTTTCTATCTTAGCTTTGAGCTTGGCTACATAGCAACACTTTGGGGGACTTGTTACAATCAACATTTCTTTCTTTCCTTCCTTTTTTTTTTTAAGGGGATCCAAAGTCAAATTCAGTCAGTGGCTGAATGACAACACATTGAGTCACAACCTCGTAGATTCTCTTAATGTCATAGGGCATCAGTGGGAAGGAGTAGAATCCTGGAAATTTGAGGTGGAAATATGGGCAGATTCCAACAAAGCTGAGGCCTATGACCTCTGACCTGTGACCTCTTAGTGGAGCCTCCTGTGCTATTAGAAGGAAGTCTGCCTCTGAGATAGTTTCTTTGCAGGGGACTGTAGATCCTCAAGACTTGCCTCCACTACCTCTCGTATTTCTAGACCTAGTAATCAGACTAGAGTCCTTGAAATGGGGAAGGGAGCAGGGAAGGGGTGGGCACCCACCGGGTATAAAGTATGACCATGAGGAGACACTATATCTGCTAAAATAAGGAATTTTATAATTTATATCAATAGAAACTTCAGAAATATTGTGTGATTGTGGATTTTGTAGGTATTGAAGCAGGTGGAAGTAATGTAATATTGGATTAGGCTGGATTTGTTGATACGAGTGCATTCAACACCCATTCCAGACTTTGCTCAAATGACTGAAACCTGTACCCAAAGTTAGCATATGCTAAAGTCAAAATGCCAGAACTTTCTAAGTATGTTGTAGCAAAATTTCTTGATGTTGGCATCACTGACATTTTGAACTGGATAGCTCTTTGTTGTTGGGAGCTGTCCTGTGCAATGTAAGATGGGCCAGTGGCACATATTCTTCCCTGCCACCCTAGTTGTAACAATAAAAAGTGCCTTGAGGGCTTCCCTTGTGGCGCAGTGGTTGAGAGTCCGCCTGCCAATGCAGGGGACACGGGTTCGTGTCCTGGTCCGGGAAGATCCCACATGCCGTGGAGCGGCTGGGCCCGTGAGCCATGGCTGCTGAGCCTGCACGTCCGGAGCATGTGCTCCACAGCGGGAGAGGCCACAACAGTGAGAGGCCTGCGTACCGCAAAAAAAAAAAAAAAAAAAGAGGTTTGGGGTAAATTTTTCCCTCAAAATACCCAGGTCAAAGTCTGTTCTTCTTGATTTTTTAATGGGACAGAATTGGGGGAATTCAACAAAGTATTTCTTTAAATTCTGAAACAGATGAAGAGCTCAGAAATGAGGAACTCCTCTACATTGTCCATAGATATTACTGAGTTTATTTTCCATGATTTTACTCAAGAGCATTTGCTGTGTCGTCATCCTTTTGACAAATTTCTTTAAGAGCTTAAAATTCTCCTCCCTCAAAAAAAAAAAAAAAAAAGTGCCTTGATACCTCCGTGTGCACCAGCCACGTGGGGCTCATTCATAACACAGCTCCTTAAAAAAGTCTCAAGACACTGCCACATGTTTCCTGGGAGGGGGGACCAAAAGTGTCCCCAACTGAGAACCACCGCTGTAGAAGGTTTACAAAGGCGTAAGAATGTCAGACCGCTGGAGTGGATTTATCACATAAGATCTGCTCACCCAAACCCCCTATGTGCCCTGGGAGGGCTCAGAGGACACTTCCTTTGCCAGAGGTTTACGAAACGTATTGGTGAGGGGAACGTTAGCAGTCTTGGAATGCTCTGTAGCTACTCTTCTCTGCAGGCTAGGAATGAGAAAGGGAAATTATGTCGTCATAATGGGCTCCCTAAATTCAGTGAGGCTAATGGGATCGTGGGGTATCATTGGTCAAGTGAAACACTTCATTGGCAGAGATAAAGTGAGCGTGCTTTTCACTATGAACAGCAAAATGAAAGGGATCATTAGAATGGTTTGGTACACAAAGATTTTTTACATTTGCTCATGTGCTATCTCTAGGGCTGAAATAAATGGGAAGTCTACTAATACCCTACTTGATTTGAATCAGGAGAAAAGCTC